CGAAAGCAAGCAATGAAAATAAAGCAAAGACCAAAAATCGAGCATCAACACCAAAATCGGAAAACAAACTCGAAGTAGTATGCCCTAAGCATGGTACTTACTCTCCTATCGTATGCGAAGACGAAAATAGTGCGTAAAACTCGAATCTTGATCGAAAATAAAGTTTTTGGAATTTAGCCAAAAAAATCGAGTCATGAACCTCCAAACTAAAGCATAAAAATAAAAGAGAAAATTGAGAGGATTTCCCAACTTAAAAGTTGGTAAATGAGGGGATTGTTCCAAAAATACAAAGCACAATGTCTATTTATAGTTATACCACAAACACACACTAAAAACACGCACATTTAGTATAACACTCTCGAGGTATCCAAAATTTCCGCGAGGTCGAGAGTGGGCACGGCACTGGCAGGGCAGGGGCACTCGCGTGGTCGCGAGACAGGGCGTGAGGCGCGGGCGCAGGCAGGACAATCGCAAGGTCGCTGGGTGATTCGCGCGCGCGGAGGCACACATGAAGGAACTCGCGAGGTCGCCCGAGAATTCGTGTGCGCTGGCAAGCATAGGAAGGGACTCGCGAGGTCGCCGAGAGATACGCGGGCGCGGGCACGGGGCATGTAGACTCGCGAGCAGGAGGCGCACTCGGCAGCGGCACTCGCGGGCTACAAGCGTTTCGCGGGCGCGAGTCTTGGACTCTCGAGCAGGAGGCGCACTGGGCAGCGGCACTCGCGGGCTACCAGCGGTTTGCGGGCACGAGCCTTGGACTCGCAGGAAGTGGCGCTAGCGGGTGCGGGAGCGAGTCTTAGATGCTGAAAATGGTCCCGATGACCACTTGATGCTCGGTTCGCTCTAATTTCTCGCACACTTATCCGATTGACTTGAAATTTTGACCCACGCTGCTCAAATCATTTTTTCCTCATCTTGAGATGTGTAAAGGGGTGTCACCATGCAATTAATAAATATTCTCGGAACGGCTCGGAAATGGTTCGCGTGGCTAGGACATGGTTCGGACGGATCGAAAATGGTTCGTTTCCCCAAGCGTAGTAATGATGGACCTATTCAACACCAAAAAGACAAGAAAAATACGTCGAACCACAAAAACATAATACGAGAATAAAAATGCAAGAAACACGATAAAAAGGACTGGTCGACACTAAAATGAACCCAAAAACACTAAACAAAAGCACATAAAACACACGAAAATAAGCACAAAAACACAATAAACATGCATCTTCCTCTTTTATGTCTGGCTGCAACCTTCGACACGGCACCACTCTCTACCGAGGTGTCAGCGAGTTTCCCGTCCTTTCTTCTCCCCTTTTTCAGCTCGACACGATGCATCGCCGTCTCCTGGTGGCCATGACGGAGTTTTAGGTGGCAGACCGACATTCGAGTGGTAAGTTCGTGGTCACCGGCTCTGCTACTGTCGATTTGGAGGATGGGTCTGAGTCCGATGCAGTCTGGGTACCTGGATCCTCTCTGCCTTTCTGGTGTTAGAGCGGATGGTTCTAACATATGAGGTGGTCGGCTGCCTTTGGTGGTGGTCGACTATCGTCGCCTGATTTGGTGATGGGACGGGAAGGGGGTGGTGGTCTATGTTGGGCTCTTGGTGTGGCTCGGGGTGGTTCCTGTGAAAGAAGTTGGCCTCATTTTGTTCGAATCTAGTTCGGCCTCAGTTGCAGTTTTTAGATTTAGGTCGTTCTATGCTTTTTGATGAGGACTATTTCGCTTGGTGGTTTTCAGTCTGCCAGCGATTGGGGAGGGCCTTAGTTTATCTTACTTTAGCTTCTAGGTTTTAGTTTTGTGCGTGATGTTTGGCGTTTGTGGTCTGTTTTGTATGTTGGTGATTGGGTTGCTGTCTTTTCTCCTTTTGGGAGCGTGTGTATTTTCTTTTTTAGGTTTTGTATTCTCAACATATGTGAGTTGTATAGCTTGTTGTATTGTGAGTGCATTAGTGTAGTTGAATTTAGGCTACTTCTGAGTAGCTAGTCCTCCAACTAGGTTCAAATGTTTTAATATTTCTTCCTGCTATCTAGATGTGATTGAGCAATTTCAGTTTATATATATTCTCCATTGTTCTGACAAAAACAAAATCAAGATTTATATCATTTAAATTAAGAAAAAAAAATAATTATTAGTGTTCAATATTTGTAGTCATATCTAGGGGTGGTATCTGTTCGGTTACCGAACCAAGCGTATACCGATATC